CACCTAGATATGTTAAAATACATTATTGTATTACTTTCGCATTCTTTTTGGATTTAACTACACTAACTAATGATTTTAATGGAGTTCATTAATTGATCCCTGGGATGGGATCATCATTAGATGAACATCTAATTTATCATCATTAGATGAACATAAAAAGACACAATTCCACATCCATTTGTCTTTTTCAGAGCTTTGTAGTGCGATATTTCAGGTGTTGAATCAACCTAAGGTTTCATAGTACAAAACCAACACAGAATGATTCATAGGAAGTTCACACTAGAAACCACCGCTAATTTTTCTTAATTCAATGTCCAAATGCATATAGCACGTCGAAATATCATCCAAACACCCCCTACCTGAACTCTGGTTAATTTTCTGACACTGAATGCCTATTCTAAGTATGCCTATTCCGACTTGTTCTCTCAATGGTATTCAATTTCAGCTTCTCTGAAGGTTAACTACCTGACTTTTGGAGTTGTCAAATACTATTCACAGTTCATAATTAGCCTCGTGGTTGCCAAGTCTTCCTCATATAAGTTCACTCTAAGGTAATAAATCCAAATCAGAATTACCTAAAGTAAACTTGATTTTCCTTCATTACTCATTAATCACAGTCACCTACAGCTTTGTTCTTTTATTAAAAGGCCCTATAGGGCCCTCCCTGGTGGCGCAGCGGTTAAAGCACAGCACTAAGAAGCTAAAGCCACTTCAGTGTGAGTTCGACCCCCGCCTGCCCCGGATGTGACCACATGGCCCTGCAGACCTCTCCTCACCCACCCGAGGCTCCCATCGCTGCTCCCATCAGCAGTGTTCTGCCTGTTCTGCTCCCCACTCTGTCTTTGGTGAATCCTCTCACACCCCTGCACTTCTGGCCTGTACACCAGTTCTGGATGCATAAATAAATAAATCTAAAAAAAAAAAAGGCCCTTTAAGGAAGATCCTCTTTGGGACATGCCATTCATTGTCTCTACAGGAAAAGAGATGACAGAACTAATTGGTGATTATTAGAAGTTTCAGGTCAGCAATGGCTTATGTCACTTCCTTTTAGCTTTTGTTGAACAAATCAAGACATAAGGTCAAGTTTGCCATCCAACCAGGTGGAGAGGTAAAGGCCTCCCAATGGGAGGGACAAAAATATATCAGAATAGTAAACAGTCTACCGCAGAGCTTGTTTTCATTCTCAAGCAACATCCTTTTGACTGAGTAATACATTATTTATAAAATAAAATTTGTTTTTAGGTTTTGTTAGAACACAATTAAGGCTTTTCTTATTTCAGGGATGGGGCTTAGTCCAATTTGATATTTTCTATGAATCTATGAAAAAGTAATTAAAATGAACTTGAAAAATCAATAAACATTTGGAGTCCCCATAGGTATAATTGAGATAAACAGTATTAATTTATGAAGTGAACTAACTGAAATTTTCACCATATTACCTTGAATAAAGGAAAATAACTGATTGTCATCCCAATCCTATTTCAGCCACCAGGAAACCCTCTAAAGTTAACATTTAAATTAGACCATTCAAAAATTCTCTTCAAATTCAATGAAAATCACTCTCACCAGTATTCTGTGATATTGCAAAGAACATAGGTTTAACCTAATTTATGTAAATGGCAAGTGATAGATTTTAGGATTTAATTGCACATGACACGTACATTCAGATGGCTATTATTATTATTATTATTATTATTTTGGTCTAGTAATTCTTTCTTAATACTTAAAAAAATAAATTTGTCAGTACCTGGCTCCGTGGGCACTGAGCCAGTTCTGCTTAATCTGACTGTGTTTGTAGCAGTCTCTTTCTATTTTAAGATACTTTAATTATTGGTTTTCTAAAAATGAGGTATGTAGAATATCTCCTTTTGGTTACAAGCTAGAAATTAGAGCTAACTTCTTAAATGATATCTTATGGCTTAAGACAATTTCATTTGATTTTTTCAATAGAAGATGTGGCAGCTGACCACACTATCCAACAAAATGTATTGATTCATAGAATAACATAATAATTATAATAATAGCTAACATTCACAGAGAGCTACTGACATTGTTCTAAATACATGTGTTCTTTAATCTCCACAACAACCCTGTAAATTAGTGTTACACTCATTTTACAGATGAGGGATTTATAATACTTTTTAAAAGTTGTAAATTCAGCTTTGGGGAAAATAAGTCATGTTTGGCAGGGTTTATCAGTGAGTTTAGGAAGTTGACCAGTTAAATCAGGAAACCAACAGAAGAAAGGGAAGTAGTAGCAAAAACTTCTTTAGAGGTTTCCTGAAGCTTACTCTATTCTCTGCATGCAAGAATTTCAAACAAAACACCCATGGACAATTCGTTTAAGCTTTTAGTCAAAGGAGAATTACTTTCTAGTAACTAGTTCAGCAAATAGTAATCTTAAGGGAAAGATCTGGAGTTTATGTATAGATTGTGATTATCTTGACACATTAGCATTTTCTAATTTCCAAAAGAACACAGAACCTCAGAAATTGTTTTTCAAGTTAGAGTAGAAACAAACTGTATAAATTCCAATTTTCCTTCTCATGGTTGACTATTTTCTCAGTGACTGTGGGTCTACAACTCTTTGTGGAATGGCTGCTGTTTATTTAATAGAAAAGGAGTGCAAGAGTAGCTTTGACAATTTAGCCACCTGTTAATTTGAAAAGCCTTTTATTAGCCCTCCCTGGTGACACAGCTGGTTAAAGCACAGCACAAAGAAGCTTAAGCCATTTCCGCATGAGTTCAATCCCCGCTTGCCCTGGAGGAGATCCACATGGCGTGGCAGACCTCTCCTGACCCGCCCGCTGCTGCCCTCAGCAGTGTACTTCGTCGATCTGCCTGTTCTGTACCCCGCTCTGTCCCTGGTGAAGCCTCTCACCCTCCGCATCTCTGGCCTGTACCCCAGTTCTGTATGAATAAATAAATAAATCTTAAAAAAAAAAGCCTTTTATTAGTTATAGATATGTTGGTGGTCGTGTGTGTGTAAATGTTTTTGTAGTGATAGATTTTCCTTTATATGATGATATATCTGACAGGTGAATAATTAACCTATTAGAAATAGTAATTGAGTTCAGTAGATGGTTTCAAGTTGTATCTGATTTTTTTAATTACTGAAGATTAAAACAAATATAAGATAAAGAGAAGAGTCAAATGAAAGTATTAGTGAGTTACAGTTTTGCTCTGTTTACAGTTGCTTTTATTTGCTGTCTATAACTTCTTCATAGGTCTCAAAGCAGGGGTTACATCTCAGCTAACTAAATTCTTCTAAATATTAGGAGCAACATATGTGTATTTTCTCCATCTTATACCTGAAAGCAGAAACTATAGAGAATAACCTATTACTAGGTTTGCTTCCTATATTTGCTATATACTATCAAGCATTTAAATCTGTAAACATTGAAAAGAATTTTCTTAGGTAAATAAGAGAAACTAAGAGGAAAATATGGAAGAAAATAATTGGTTTTGTTAATAGCTTGTGTATGGTTGAGATAAAAGAATCAGTCAAAAGTGACACCTAATTCTATCAAAGTGATAAGACAATATTCAGGTCTATATCATCAATTGGAAAGACTAGGCAGAGGTATTTATAATCTTCTCTCAAAAAGCTGATGCTTCTTCTCTTGAATATGTTATTACTCTGACTCATCATTATTTTAGTACAAGTAACATTAAGAAGTAATAAAAACACTAAATAATTTACTATTGTCTTAACGGGTTTTTGTTTGTTTGTTTTGAAGAGGTGATTAAGTGACTTACACATGATTCATTTCCATGTTCTTTCAATAGAAAAAAAAATTAATCATGGCAAGGCTGTGACATACTAAAGGTCACATAACCTGTAGTTACAGCCAGGTATCCTAACTATTAATCTAGTGCAATATTTTAAGATTTATTATATTACTAATTCCAGTGACCATTTAATGACGCGCCTGACACACCCTTCCTTTAATAAAAATCATTCCATTGACCTTTGTGAATGTATGGATTTAAATCTAAATCAGGAAATGATTTAAAACATTTTTGTTCTGGAATGGAGTGCATATATAAGCTCAGATCCTTTGCTCTTACAGGTCCAAAAGCATAGATGGATAAAGTGATATTAGGCTTAAATGAGTTAAAGAACCAGCATTTGGAAGCTTCTATTTTAAAACGACGAGGTAGCTCTTGAAACAGAAAAGTATAATTTTGCTGTTAAGCAAACTAGTGTTAAGGGGATCATTGCCTGTTCAAAAATATTTTTGAGGTACCGGCGCATATTTTAAAACATTTTTTTCAATAGGAAAGCAGACATTTTGGAATTTCCCGGAGCTCACTCTCCCTAAAACGCCAATCCTCCAAATGGCTAAGTCGCATAGCTGAAAGGATTTTGCTCATTTTTTCCAAAACACTTCACATCTGAGTAGTCGCCAACCAGGGAAAGTTTAGAGTAAATGTGACATTTGGAAGAGGGGCCAGGCTTTTCTGGGGGTGCCTCCGCAGGATCGTAACCTTCGGAAGGTATCCCCACATCCCCTGACCCCATAGCCAAATAGCTTCGAGTTTGGACCAGGGAAGCTCCCTGGGTCAGGCCAGACGCCAGGTGCCACCAACCTTGCTGACCGTCCCCATCCTTCTCTGCCCATCACTTTCCCCTACAGTTCGAGTCCCAGGAGTCCATTGTTTCGTAAACGACATGACCCCTCCAAGATCCTAGTTCTCAACTGAATCAGTCTGGAGTCTGTGGAAACAAGAATTACAGGGTTACTCTGGACTGGGGCCTGACTCCCCAGCTTCACACGTCAGTTTCTTTCCTCTCCCCGCCCCCCGGCAAAGCCGGCCAGTCCCCCTCCCGCTTTTCGCGCACCCGGCGCCGAGAGAAATTTGACTGCTCCAATAACCAATCAGAGGAGAGGTCGACGATATGAGCCAATAGGAGCAGGCAGAGGGGGCCGAGCGTAGCGTCCTCCCGCCCCCGGGAGGGTAAGCGCGAATGTCTCTGGCCCTCCCCAGCGCTTCGGTCTCAGTGCGGAGCCCTTGGCGGTGTGGGGAGCAGCGACCGCGAGGACGAGCTCGGGAGCATCAGCCGCGGCTGCGGAAGCTGGAGCCAGAGCCGGAACCACACCCACGCCGCTGCCCCTCTCCTCCTCTGCCCTCTCGCTGCCCCGCGGGAGCCCGCGTCCCTGAAGGAGAGCAGCCGCCCCCGCCCGGAGCATCCTCCCCACCGGAGCCGGCGCCTACAGATCCGGAGGCATGATGCGGCTGCGAGGCTCGGCGATGCTTCGGGACCTGCTTCTGCGGCCGCCCGCCGCCGCCTGCCTGGCTCTGAGGCGGGCGCAGCCCCTCGCCACTCTGTGCCGGCGCCCCCAAGGCGGGGAACCGGCGGCCGCGCGACTGCACCCGTGGTGGGGTGGGGGCGGCCGGCCGGCGGGCCCACTGGCGCTAGGCATGTCCAGCTCCCCCTCGGAGATCCTGCAGGAGCTGGGCAAAGGGGGCGCGCAGCAGCAGCAGCCGCAGCAGCAGCAGCAACCGTCGCCTCAGCAGCAGCAGCCTGGGGCGTCGCCGCCCGCGGCCCCGCCGGCGTCCGGCCCCAAGGACGGCCTGGGGGAGACGGACGCGTTCGGCAACAGCGAGGGCAAGGAGCTGGCGGCCTCAGGCGAAAAGTGAGTGTCTCCGCGAGGTGCTGAAGGCCTCGCCCCGCGTGGGGCCCGGCCCGGGAGGGGCCTGCGTGGGGCGGGATGGGAGCGGAGGTTCGAGAAAGAGAAAGAAAGAGATGCCGGGCGGCCTGCGCCGTCTGCGCCATGTGATTAGGCCCGGCCCCGCCCGCGCCTTCTCGGCCCGCGCCACTCGGCTCGGCCCCCGCTTCCCTTCTACGGCCCCGGAGCGGCGCCCGGGTACAGGGCCCGGGGGCTGAGGGTCTGTGTGGTCTGGTCCTCGCCTTGCCCAGGACCTGCGGCCGCCCGGCCCGCACCGCATGCTCGGCGCCCCGGCTCCTGGCTGCAGCGCCTGGCTGCCCGCCCAGCGTCGTGGGTGATGCCTCAGAAACATCCCCACCGAGTGACATTTAGGAGCTGGGCGTTGGGCAGAGCCTGTGCCTCCCTGACTCGTCGCTTTTCCAGGCTCGAGTTTCCTCGCTGTCTGCCCTCCTTCGATCTCTGCCATCTCTGGGGAAGCCGTAAGTGGCAGAGTATTGTTAATGTTAATGGAGTGGCTCCTTTAGGCGTGTGTAGAGCCATCTGGGGCACCGGAAATAATGTTTCCGAACAGAGATTAGGAGGAAAAGGGGCACGCAGTTGAGAAGATGGGGCACGCTGGACAGACCACCTGTTTGCCCGCTTTGGCCTGCCTGATGACTTACGTGAGATGGGCGAATTTTTTTAAAAATACAAGTCAAAATAACGAAGATGAAATGTGACGGGTCACACGCTAACTCAGAAAAACCGAGTTAAGACTTTTAAATAGTGATCGGACTTTAATTCGTGTATGTTGTACAGCAGGTTGGTTCCAACATGAAATTGATTTTTCTTTCACAATAGGTGAAGCAGAATCTGGATAGTTTTTTTATATTATAAATGGACACAAACTTTTTCACCAAGTGGGTAAAATTTACCTGCCTGCTGCCTGAGAGGACATATAATATAACCCTACTATTTTTCTGCGTTTGCACTGACATTATGTGACCAGTTTTGCCTCCCCTTTTAGGTGTGTTACTCTCTCAAGCTCCAGAGTACCTTCATTCGGACTGGAAGTGTGATTCTCATACTTTCAGTCTCAGGCCTGCTTAATGTTTCCTGTAATTGAAATTGGTACCTTCCTAAAACATTCCAAGCTGAAGTTGTTTTTCCAAACTGAAAAGTATTATTTAAAAAAAAAAAATTACTTGGTGGTGGCCAAAATTTATGGTGTTCTTTTATAATGGTTTTGTGCCACCAAATAGCATAGGACCACTGGCAGGGCACTTAACATCTTGGGTCAGGTGACTCAGATTCCTTCAAATTCCAAAAGACAGACTTCTATTGAATTTCTACGTCTCCCTTTTAGGGCCTAGAAAGGTGTATGCTTACTCTCATCTGCTACTTTTACCAGGCATGTAGTAAGAGATTCAGTACAAGTGCTCAGAGTTGCAGAATTGCAGAATGCAATTACTGTACTATTTAAAATTTGTCCTTAATGGCTGTAGGATGGGAACTGCTTTCTATTGAAATTATGTTTCCCGCTCCTCTGACTCTCCTTTGTCTGAAGTGGCCCTCTTTACCTTTCATCCCATTGGAAATGGAGCTGGTTTAGCGATTCATGTATTTCCCAGAGATTTAGCATCCTTGTATTAAAAATAAGAAAACAACTCCTAGCAATAACATTGAAATACTATTTTGGCTAATATTTATTGACAACCCTACATAAAAAATGTCTCCTATCTTCTCCCAACTGCCAAAGAGAACTCTAGTAGGAAGGGAATCCTTCAAGAATATAAACTTATTTACCTTAAGTTAAAGGAGTTTTTTTTTCTTTGCCACCAAAATTTGAGTAACTAGACTGGGTCAGATGCAATCTAACTAGATATTCCTGAAAGCTTTCAATCAAGAAGTTCAAGAGTAAACTCCTGTTTCCAATTTACATATTAAGTGAAGAGAACTGGCTAAAGAAAAAGCATTTTAACCAGGTTACAAAGATTCAATTTCCTGAATAATCTGGTTTGCAAATATAACTTTCCTCCTTTGACTCCTTCCCTTTTGCCATTATGTGACAAATACTTCTCATTCTGGGAGATAGACTTCTCTTTGAACCTGTTATCCTTCACTTCCAAAGTATAGGTCATCCCTCAATCAACAAGCAACCTGGATTGCCAGCTCTCACTCAGGACTCTGCCATGTTTTATAGAGGATTATTAAAAGAAATAGTCGCATGAAAAGAAAACGATTTAGCATTTTGTAAAAGGCTTAGAACAATATTTAGCATGTGTTAAATATTACATAACTGTCTACTAATAAGAATGGAATGGCTTTGTTTATTGTAACACCTTCAGTTTTAGGCTTACATATGAGATTTTTTTTTGTTTTCTAGTTTCCAGAAAAAAATTTCTTGAGAAATTGTACTTATTGTACAAAACTATGTGATTTGCATTGTTTACCCTTTTGTTCTGCTCACCAGTAAATTTGTAGTGAATATTAGACTTTAACCACAGCAGTTTTATTCACATAGTGAAGATACTTTCTGTTCTTCCTTTCTTTGCTCTGACTTTATATTTTATTAACTTTACCATATTACATTTTGGAAGGAGGTGGGATATAAATAAATTACCTACTTATCTTTATTCCATAGTCACATTCTTAATGAACCAGTGTCATCCTAGGTATACTCTCTCTTTCAACTTAAATTCTGCTTTAGGTTCTTCATTTAAGTTAGTATTTTACTATTAACATCTTCTCAGTGTTTAATGGAAAAATGACATATTTGCCCAGTTTCCTGTAGTGCTCATATTTAATTTTGTTATTGTCACTCCATCATTTTGAAAACCACTTTGCTTGGCTCTCTTCATTTTTAAAGCTGTTCTCTCTGCTTTCCTTGCTGCTTTGGGTTTGCTCAGTGCATAAGCTGAGGCAAAGGGCTGTGCTTCTTTTCCATTTGTGTGGCTTCCCAACAGCCTGTTCTTTCAGCCTTGTTGGTCATTTCTGTGTAGGTGATTTTATAGCTCACCCCGAGTTCTATGTTCACATTTGTCTCCACCTCAGATAAAAAATCTGTACCCCATGTCTATTCTTTTGTCACATTTCAATATTTTGCATAGTTTCAAGATTAAATATTTTAAATTTAAAAATATCACCTTCAAAGTCACAAACCAAGCTATGGTAGGTAGGATTTTTGATTAATCTTAATATCAGTGCTTGCTCAGGGTGGACCTTTATTTTTTTAAAATCAGATTGTCTTCTCTGGTAAAGCATGCTATCATTTCTTTAAGCTCCAGTTCCCTGGAAGGGTTGGTGAATGAAGATGATGGGACACTTCAAAATTATTTTTTGTTTGGCATTTTATTGTTTAAAAAGGAAAAGACTTAACAGAAGGACTAGCCTGGAAAAATACAGTGTATGTATGCTTTTTAAAAAACAAGTAATTCTTGGCCCTCCCTGGTGACGCAGGGGGTTAAAGCATAGCACCTAAGAAGCTAAAGCCACTTCCACATGAGTTCAATCCCTACCTGCCCCAGAGGTGATCCACGTGGTGGGCAGACCTCTCCTGAACGGCCCACTGCTCCCCTCAGCAGTGTACTTCATCAATCTGCCCGTTCTGCTCCCTATTCTGTCTTTGGTGAATCCTCTCACTGCCCCTGCCCCTCTGGCCTGTATCCCAGTTCTGTATGCATAAATAAATAAGTCTAAAAAAACAAACAAACAAGTAATTCTTAAAGGGTATATTGACAAGATTACAAGATTTTATTAAAACAACAATGAGATCATTTTTCCCTATCAGATTGGCATATGTTAAGTTAAATCAAGTGATGCTTGGAGTGTGGGAAATAGGAACTCTATTTTAAGTTGCTGGTGGAAGTGTAAATTAGTTTAGCTATTTTGGAGGACAATTTTTAGTAATACCTGTTAACAAGTGTACACTCATATTGCAATAATTGCAGATTTGCTTATCTACACAAATTCATGGCAGTAAAAAATATTTTCAATAAAAACAAGCAAAAGTGATTTCGACTGGCTTCAGAAAGTATGACTGGGTCACAATCATTCCATATGCTGTGAGAACTAAATTTCAAAGTAAAATGATATAGTTATGCATTTCAGTAAGCAATACTATCTCTAGGAAGTACTGTTAAGAAGTTGAGATATTATTTGGCAAATATAGATGATACATTTTGGAATTGAAAAAGAATGTTTTGAAATAGTTGATATGTGTTGGCATCCCTTAATGTATTTTCTTTTAATTTGTAAGTAAACATATTTACAATTCATTTAAACTAAAATCAAGATTGAAAGTATATATATTGGGGGTGGGGGGCTCTCAAAGTTTGCAATGACTCCTTCACCCTTTTTTGTGATTTCCTTAATGTTAAATTTTTTTGCAGATTGCAGTGATCAGTGAATTTTAATTTTGCATACATTTAAACATTATTGCTCCCTAATGGTTACATTAATCATATGCATCTATTTAACCATTGATATAGCTGTATATGATCTGCAATTAACAAACTGTGTACTATTAATATTTAAATGAAGTTCACTGGAAGCACAAATTAGATCCTAAGTTTAGTAACTCAGAGTTTTATCTTGTTTTCCATGCTTGTCTATTTATGCCTACCTTAAAATCTGCTAACTCTGGAAAGAACTACCAAATAGAATTAAGCCTTTTTGTGAAGCACACTAGGTGTGCTAGGTATGGAAAAGTAGTTGGGTCTGGGGAGCCGTTAGTTTAGTCTGACAAGGATCATTGTTACCTTGAAGAGAAGTTTGTTAAAGGTGCTTATAGGTTTCTTTGAATTCTGAAAATGTATTTATGATCTACTTCTTTCTTGTAATAAGTGAGGTGAAAAAAAATGATAGGTGCAAAAATTGAAAATCTAATTGTGGGATCTACATTCCTTAAGGAGTTCAGTCTTTAAATCCTTTATGAATTAAGGAGTTGACCTGTTTGTGCCTTTTCATCTTTTAAGTCATTTGCGAGT